GTCCACACCTCAAACTCTACCGATCACGTTGACCAGACTTGCAAACTATAGAGATCATATAACATGAAAGAGGTGGTCCCTTTGAATATAAATTCGAGCAAATTTGGATTCGAGGTGATTGTTTAGGAAGATGCTTTGTTTCTTTAATCTCAATTAAGGTTCTTTTCGACTTAAAAATTTTCTAGCACCACAATCTGCATCTAATTGGGAAAACTTGCTGATTACTTGTACTTGGCAAAATATGTTTGTCGCAATTATATCTATTGTTGCTTTAATAATTGCTAGGATTGTATAATGTTAACAATAATTTCCTAGTTTAAGCTCAGTTAATCAATGGCACTTCTAAAATTCTTTTTAATAGCAAATAAAACTGATTTTAATCCTCTTGTTGTAACTAGCTTACCCAAGTACGCAAAGTTAGTGGCGTTACTGTACGCTCTTCCAACCTAATTAAGCCATGTTGAACTACTCTAAGTTAAGTGCGTTCATTGATACTAAAACGCGATCGATTTCATACTGATCATTCCAAGACAAACTCAGATATCAAACTTTCCGAAACTTATATCCTGAATATTTCCTCTCTGATCGGAGACAAACAAACTTTCCAAAAGTACAAACAGGACATCTTAATCCTTTAAAGGCCAATAGATTTGTCACTTGACATTCAACTCTGACTTCTGACAGTTTAACACACAAACACTTTTTAAAACAACTTCTCAAAAACCACCCTTTCGTATAAATCGAAACGTCTTAAAAATTAACATCCTTAATCCATAACGAAAAAACTCAAAACACATAAAACGTCAATGTTGCTGTTGCACCGACTGACAATAATATAAAATATTAATGTTGTCTAAAAATATTAAAACACAACTTTTCTGCGTTTCAAATCTCTATAACATGCGTTTTGTGCTAGAAAAGTTATCTTTTCAATTTACCAATAAAAATGAGCACTAACTAAATGTCTTTTTTATATCATGAATTATAAAGTTTAAAAGCAATAAAATAAATATTAATTTTTTACTTGTTCTCAAA